GACAACCAAAAGTTGTACATGTGGCTAGTTGTACCCTTATCATAATTGTAAATATTGTTAATTATTTAATAAAAAGCTCACGGCCATAGAGATCACCTTAACACTGAAAAAAAAAATATTATCAATTTTTAGTTTTCATATTATCATTTTTGTATGTCATCATTTAAGCTAAACATTTTTTTGACTCAATATACTGCATGTTTTTAAATGCAGAGTGCAATTAAAAAATATACATAAATCATTAGCTAAAAAGCACAAGATAAATCAGGTAAAAAGTTTATTAGTGAAATAGTAAAGCATTTAAAAAAAATTACTATATCTGAACTTAAATTAATACAGGATCAGATTTTTAATAACTCAAATATTAATATACCCACATATAATACAATTGTTCATGCTCTTAACATTATGTCTAATACAGATTTTAAGTTAACATCTCATCTTTTACATACTATAAGATATTCACATGGAAAGAATCAAGACCAAATTATATTCTTCTATATTCAAAAAAAGACATCTGATTATATATTTGATATCCTTTATAAGCCTGGAAAATTAATTAATAAGTTAAACAATAATAACAAGCAACTTAAACAAAAGGTTTAAAAATTACAATAAACTGAAGATCATGAAATTTATAAAGTTAGAAAGCTTAATAGTTCTGTTGCACAATTTAGATGCAAGCACCACCAATGTATATCCCAAATTTGAGCAGTTGCTAGGAGCCCACAGAAATTAAGTAGTGATGATATAAAAACTATAATTAGAAATATAGATAAAAAGGATAAAAAAAATATAGCAAAGACTTTATAGGACTTATTTTGAAGTTTCGCAGATTGGCTAAATATCCTTTAACACTATGACAACAAGTATAAATATTATTTTTAACTTTTTAATAGAGGATGATTCAGAATTATAAATTTCTGTAGCAACTATTAGTTAATGATATTGTGAAGTATTAGAATTATATGTGAGAAATGTATTCTAGCAAGCCAATTAGTCAAGTTATTTCATATTTAGAATAATGGCCAATAAGTTAGGTTGAGGTAAAAAAAAAATATTAGTAAATTGTTTTATGTTTTGGAATTAAGTAAAAATATACCTAATGTTTTACTTTTAAAGACAAAAGATTTTTAATATTGTAATTCTGATACAGTTAGCCAAGCCCTTTTCGACAATATCTTACTTTTCTTTCAGACAACACAAATCATATGAGTGGTTATAGTGGAGGAGCTATAGCAAAATTTAATCAATTAGCTAAAAGTAATTGTACTCAAATTCCCTGTAAATTATATGTACAATATCTAATCCTGAACAATTTTGAAGAAATAGCCTTTGGTAAGCTTTCAACAAATACCAGATTCTCTAATAGGTAGTATTTATTTAATCTTCTTTATTTGGCATAAATGTTGCACAATAAATATAATAATAGTGATAAGGATTCACTATTAAATATAAGAAGCAAAACTATTGAAGTATTTATAAAGCATGGCTTAACTATCAATTAGATAAATATCAACATCCTCTATGATCAAAATAGCAATATGAATTAATTACAGCTAAACAGTATCTTGAAAGACATGAAATACATATAGAATTTATTAAATAGTTTCTTCCCAAGTTAAAAAATCTAAGAAAGGTTCTATGTTTTTATATTAAAAAAAATGGGAACTATTTCAGAATTGGTAAATAATTCTGAGTTAAATATTGAAATTCAATTACCTATTTGCTAAATTTCTTGTTGGTTATGATTCCTATCCTAGGGTTATATAGCCTGATAATTTATTACAATGTTTGCCACCTGGTTATTGAGCACATCAAATGCCAGACTTTGTTAATAATTCAACATATAACTTTATATTTATTTTAGAAAATCTTTATCTATTTTTTGGTGGCAAGCTTCTGCAGAGTACAAAAACTATAGATGATTCACAAATAGAATTATTAGTTCAAAAATTAAAACAAGGAATACAAAAAAGACTTGAATTGCACCAAAAATAGTTGGATTGTTAGCTTTATCTTCCCTTAAGCATGTATTTTCTTGGTGGAGATAATGCCAAAAAATTTGCCTATAGTTATTGGCATGTTGTGCTTAAAAAAACCTTGGCCTGAAGCTCCTGATATAGAAGAACTTTGCTATGCAAAGTTTCTTGAAATAGATATTGTAGAAGAATTTAATAATTTGGTTTCAAAAATATATTAAATGATGAATTATTTTTTCAAGAATTTGGTTTATTCATTAATGAATCAACAGTTCTACTTTACCAATGTTCACGGCTCTATGATTTCATTAAAAATAAAATTTAGTACATTATTATCCACCAGCAACAAATAGAAAATCATTTTAATAAATAGGATTTGAAAACTCACCCTAACATGATTGCTAAAACTCAACAATCCAAAATGTGTCTTTTAGCAACTAAAATAAGAGACTTTCAGTTTAATGATCAACAAATGAAAGACATTCGAAGCAAAAATAGGATTATCTACAAACAAAAAGATCCCACTTCCTCAATTCCCCACTCTGATCTACAATGTGAACAAACTGCAAACAATCTTTTTAAAGAATTATTCCAATGAAGTTTTTATAATATTAAGTTTTTTATTATCATTAAAGTACGATAGCTTTAACGTTAATGTAATTTTTTATACGTTATTGATAATTTTTTCATTACACAGATTTTTTTGTTACACATTGATTTTGAATTCTATTGGCCAATAACATTGCCGCATAGTTAGGATCTACATGGGAGCAGAAATATCGAATAATACGTAAAAAAATCTGTACTAGTAATTTTTACCATGATAGACTTGATTATTTAGTATATGAAATACCCTATTCTCACGTGCATAATTGACATTTTTGAATCAAATACGTAAACATGTTCTTGAATGTTGTGATCAATTTGAACAACAGGTCTTCTATTGTAAGCAAAATAAACCCATTTTTTTTCTCGTATGTAAGCATAACCTTTTAAAATAAGTTACTATTTCCAATACAAACAGCTTCTTTTTTATAATTTATACTTTATTACCAAAACGATTGCCTACATTCCTGAATATTGAAAATTAAGAGTGTACAGTAATCAATGTCAGTAAGAAATTTATGGGATTCAAATATTGCTGAATATTGTTCACAACAACCGCTAGTAATAAAAATTGCTAAATTTTTTTATAATAACTGCAACATTTTTGTAATAAGAACGAAAATTCATTTTCAAGAGTTGGCAAACGCAGTTTAAACGAAAGGACCATGAATATCAGAAATCGAGATTAAAGGAGAAAGTTGGATTTATTAATAACTATTTTGGATTGTTTAAAGAGAGTGGAAATTATTCAAGACTTACTCGTGTAATCTTTAACACTTTTAATTACACATTTCTGTAATACGGAAAACAAAAATAATTTATCTTTTGTACTTTAAATTTTATTCCCAATCAATGTGTTTTTAATATGAATACAGATATATAAAAATAAATAATTATTAATGCATATCGGCTTATTTAATATTTGGAAAATAAACTATATAAAAAAATTTAATATAGACAAAAACAAATAAAATAAATAAGAAACTATTTTGATTTTTAGGATAGGGAGAACACAAGCTAGTATCTTGAAATGCATTCTTGTTAAGTCAGACAATTCATGGATGAATAGAAATTTCGTACGTTAATCTTCATAGAGGTCATCATCTCAAATCACATCATATAAGAAAAAAGCTTCTATATAAAAAATTCTCTATATGCTCATTTTTTAAAAAATTATATGTACTATACCAAACTGTGTGATTATATAGGAGAGTGATTGAATTAACATTTGAAAAAACACATACTTTATATAATTTAATTTAAAAATAAATTTATATTACGCTCTCAATTTCTATCACACTGATCGCTTACTAAAATATTCTGAAAATTTTTTCGTATCATATAGCTTGCTAGCATATATGTCTTGTGAATGTATTTGTTTAATTTGCTCTAGTATAATCTTATCAGCTTCTAAAATTTGATTTTTGATTTCATTATCATCTTCTTGATCCACTTCATTTAACCAACGAGTGGTTATTTCAGTGATTTCTTTCGTACTAGGTCGTTTATCAAGATCTTTATCCATACATTTCATAGCTAATTTAATATAAAAATCAGGTCCTAAACATTTAGGTCTTGATCCATCGATAATTTTTGATACAAG